TCCAGCATACTTGGAATTCTACCGAGCCCGGCGTACTTCGTAGCGAGAAATTTCGAGGCTGCACATGTGTAGACTCCGCGGTCTTAAAATCCCCACACTGCTTTGCACACCGTCCAATTTCGACCATATTGCAAATCTGTGGGGAAAATGTAAGGCGGGGGCCTCTCATATGACGCACACCTACACACTGGCTCGCCTGTTCCACTCTTCGTTTTCCGAATGCCAGGAAGGATTCTTGCCTCGCTTCTGAAGCAAGTGACTCGGAAGACATGTGCTACCAAGCAAGCGTCCTCGACATTGAGAAACACCCAATATATAGGCAGAGACATTTAGATAACGGTAGTGGAAATTATATAAAACCAGATAAGGTGAGCTGCATTCATTAATGGTTTATCAAAAGTCGATATTCTTCCAATAATGTCGTATTTTAGATGCCACTGTGTTCATTTTAAGTGACATACTGTAGCTAGGATATAGGCACCTGATCTTAGTTTAAAACTCAGACGTTATGATGGCAACAATCTGCTCTATATCCAAAGATAATACATAAAGGTTACTAACACTTTATTTGATCAAATAAGATGCCCTTAAAGAGATAAAAAAGATATGATATGGTTGAGTGTTTTGCTCCAGAGTGCAGCCAGAGGGTGTTTCTCAATGTTGAGGACGCTTCCTTGGTAGGACATGTCCCTCCGAGTCAGGTCTTTCAGAGGCTAGGCAAGAATCCTCCCTTTCATTCGGAGAACGAAGAATGGAAAAGGCTAGCAAGTGTGCGTCATATGAGAGGCCTGACTTATATTACATTTTTTGCAAAAGATTTTGGAAATTGGTCCGTGCAGATTTGTGAGCAGCAAAGCATACATTTGGCTACATTTTAAAGTGATAAGAGGTAAAGTGATGTGTCCCCACTAAAGTGACATATCTGTGGGAAAAGGTAATAGGAAGCCCCTCAGTTTTTGGAGGTCACATGACAGGAAGTGGCCTGCTCCTCCATGCCAGCCTGCGTCATGAGCTCAGACACGTCACTCTCAAGGTCGTCGATGCGCGTTCCCATCTCATCTAGTGAGAAAGTGAAGGAACAATCTGCCAGGGAACCAGAGAGCAACAACTCAATATAGCAACCATTTCACATGCAAATTATATTAAGCATTTACAGCAATGTCTTCTTTGACAAATTGGTGCACACAATTTTGTTTAATTCTGGAAGCTTTTCATTTTAGAGTGCTAACCCTCCTCCTGGCGTGAAGCTGCTTAATCACATCTAGAAAATATAGGTTTATTTTAGATATAATTGAGCGTTAGTTGTATCTTTGTTAATTGTGTTATTTTATAAGGACTATAAATTATTTGGGTGAATAAAATCCAGTTTTTTCTCAAACGTACCTGCTCTCCCAGTGTTGTCTGTTTCCTGTTCCTTCACAATGACATACATTAAAAACATATAAGACTCTTTAACTGTTTTTGAGAAGGCTCCTACTCGCAGGTGTGTTGTAAACATCTTGATTGAAAGGTCACAAGGGGAACGGGACAGGGCTGCAATGGTTAACATTTCAAAAGTCTTACTCTACTGAAAGCCTAGTTTCACAAATATATTTTACCGTAGCAAAAGCAAGTAAAAAGCTGAAGTAATGTAGTCAAAGAGACATCTACACAGAGGTGGGGAAAGTACTCAGATATTGTACTTGAGTAAAAGTAGAATTACTCAGATCTTGTACTTGAGTAAAAATAGAAGTACTTAGGTATTGTACTTTAGTAAAAGTACTCAGATCTTGAACGTGAGTAAAAGTAGAAGTACTCAGATATTGAACTTGAGTAAAAGTAGAAGTACTCAGATCTTGAACTTGAGTAAAAGTAGAAATAATCAGATCTTGTACTTGAGTAAAAATAGAAGTACTTAGGTCTTGAATGTCTGCCATGCTCAGGAAAATAACTTCGAGAACAAATGTTGTATTTTTATCTTTTATGCTTCCTATTTTAGTTTTTGCATTTCACAAATGTATCTTGAATAGAAAAATATGCATAAGTATTCCCTAAAATTGGATTTGAGGTTTTAGTTTTAGACTGAGTTTGAACGCCCCCCAGTGGCCATGCATGTTAACACAGCTGTGTGTTTGACAGGAGGACACGTCTTTGATTAGTAATTACTCTCAGGTGCGTTTTAGCTAAATGCAGGACTCGCTTAATACATTATAACAATAAGTAAATGCTCCGACAATTATTGAGTAGACCGGAAACGCCAAAAAGTGAAGCAGGCAGTGAAGTTACCAGCTGTTTACTTTACAGTAGGAGCATGGCATTAAAAAAAAGGATATTTTTGGACTCCAGCTGCTCAGAAATTCCCTTGAATCGTCCCTGAAGTCTTTGCATTGTTGCCTCCATCTATAAGAAAAGAAACACGACATTTAAAGTATTACTATGTTAGTTTATATGCACATACCTTTATCGTTGTCAGACAAACTCACCGCTTCTGTCAACTCTTTAGCTGAATTGCCCTCTGTTTTCGACATCGTTTCTTAAACAACAGTGTTAGTATATCGGCTGAAACCTAGTCTTGGCCCCTACAACCTAAGTATGAATGTTCTCTTGCTATAAAAATCTCCTTTCTGTTTCCCCCATCGATATATAATAAGAGGTTTCCCCTCGACAACGCTAGCAATGACTCCCATAACTTGAGTCGAATCCCTGAAAACAACGTGACTTCCGCCTGCAGTTTTTTTAAATGTCAAAATAAAAGTCCCTAGATGAAAGCATCTGAAAAAGGGAATCATGAAGTGTCTTGCTGATGAGGTTCAGGTAAAGCACGGTTAATGTATTATATTTCAGGGAGAATTGTCCGGGGCTACAGAAAAAACATTCTGGGCTATATAAATATCTCTGTCCCTGATATGTAAGTTGCAAATTCAAAGTGCCTCATTTTCATAATGTAAAATTGTAGTCTAAAACATTGTCTATAAAGCTGGGATTTTTCTTGGTTTTAGTGTCATTCTCTAAATCAACATCAAACTTACAATAGTATGTAAGTAACCGTTCAGAAGAAAATGCTGAATATGAGCATTGTAATCCCTCCGCAAATTGTATCATGACCTGCTTTAAACATTTGGCATGTTCGGTTATAGGCTTTTGTCTTTTATTTTGAAGGTAACGGAGAAATGGCACATTTATTGTAGAAACTAATCTCTCCTTTGACAAAAATTAACATACCTGGGTTATGAGTTGATACATTTTCCTATCCGTATATCATTTAAAATATGTTTGGGGGGAGGTATTGGTGGTTATAGCTTTTAATTACGTCAGCACGCAAGACACTTCAAATATTATGATTCCCTTTTTCTGATGCTATCATCTAGGGACTTTTATTTTGACATTTTAAAAAACTGCAGGCGGAAGTCACGTTTTTTTCAGACTCACGTTATGGGAGACATTGCTAACGTTTTTAAGGGGAAACAGAAAGGAGATTTTTACAGCAAGAAAACATTCATACCAGACCCGGCGTCATGGGCGGGCCCCATGGGGCCGAGTCCGCCCATCCAGGATTTGGAACCGCTGTTTTAATCAGGGCTGAATACAACATTTTAATTGTTTTATTATTAAGTGTATTGTTATTTGTAGGGCTTTCTCCTAATATTTATTTTTGTTTTAAACTATGTTGAAAGATTAGTTTAATATCATTTTTTTATTTTGCTATGAAATTCTGAATGAAAGGCTGCGCACGAGACTGGTTTTTCGCTGGGTTGAGTCGTGTGGGTTTTTGAGTGAGATGCGGCACAGCAGCCTATCAGTTTACGCTTGCTAGGTTAGTTAGGCTATTATCATTTATATTTATCTGCAACAATAGATATCGGGAAGTGGTTAATTAATGCCAAGGCACACACTCAGCGCCAGATGCAGGCACATTAGAAGACATCAGTTACGTTACCAACGAGCTAGCAAGCCAGCCAGGGACAAGGGAGGCTGGCAATCAATTATATTTTGAAGATAAAGTGAATCTCAAGCCGGCTCTCTCACAAACTCCTGCTCTGTGCGCAAGCAGACCGCTGCCTGCACGCTCTCTGCCTCGCTCAATCTCTCTCTCTCTCTCTCTCTCTCTCTCTCTCTCATCGCTCAACCTCACTCCACCTCTCCACCCTGTGTGCGCTCAGGTTTGCCTGCGTGCTTGCCTAAGTTGGCACAGAAGAAGATGGACCTTTATTATTTATTATTATTAATTACAGCGTTACAAATGTGCCACAAAACCAACCAACGGATGTATAATAAGACCGTCAACAGCCTCATGGCAACCTAAAACCCCTCTGTTTCTGTAACAACAATTCACGAGCGCCTCCCTCAGCAATTCAGCTAAAGAGTTGACAGAAGCGTTGAGTTTGTCTGACATGCAGTCAACATGTTGTTGTGTCCCTGAGACACTTCACCCCAAATTGCTCCTGTGGGGATTGTCCACAGTATTGAGTATGTAAGTTGCTTTGGATAAAAGCGTCTAACAAGTGACATGTAATGTAACAACAGGGTGAAGCAAAAACATATTTTTGCTCTCCAATTACTTCAATAAATCCCAAATGTTTTCTGTTTTCACTTTCTTCATTTTATCCTGAGACATGCAACAAAAACAAACAAGTTTCTTGAACAACTGAAAGTAACCCTTTGTGAGAAAGTCTGATATACAATATGGTCATTTAGGGGTTTGAGATATTGCTCTTTCTTGCAAAACCAAGCTTTTACCCGACAGTTCTTCGCGCAGGACTTAAGAACTCAGAGGTGACAGAAAATCAGAAAATCAACAGCACTCAGTTGCCACCCTGACTGCACAGCAGCACCTGTAGACAATCAGCTCATTAGGCCCTGATTGGCTGCAAGCGGCAATAAAGCCTCCTTCCTGCTGCTCAGACAAGCAGAGCAAGTCACTTCAGGGCTACTGGTTCTTTACTGCTGTGTTGGAACAGAGAGAGAAATATGACTTGTGGAGTTCATTTGGGGTAAATTTCTGCAGATATGCAAAGTTAATTGTTGTTAGCTGTCTGTGTTCTCTGATGTTTACATCTTTTCTGTACAGGATTTTCCTTATTGTCTTGGTTCAAGCAGAGCATGTGCGCTGTTTGTGGGCTTCACAAGGTGAGCTAAGCACAACATTTCACTTAAGTGCTGTGAATGACTATAGCTGTGGCTTTAATATTTTTCTTTTTCTCTAGCAGCTCAGAGCCAGAACAACAACACATATGTTGGCTTCAGCAAAATAATCGGGAAGCTGGTGTCAACTATCTCCAGAATCGACTCAGACAGGGCTCAGCGCAGGCAGAGCAGAAACTTAAACATACCTTCAGCTGTGGGCAGTAGTTTTAGCCGGGGGCCTTCTACTGGTGGCTACACACAAACTGTTCACAGCCAGCTAAAAGTGGCTTAGCTAAAGTCAGGTTAGTGCAGGGCAGCAACTTGAATGGTGTGCCTAAACTGCGTTTTCATGGCCTTTCTATTGCTATTGCCGGTAGCGATTCTCTGAGTAAGAGCAGCAACAAAGACACACGGAAGTCTTCCAGCCTGTTTGGTGCCGGCGCTCCTGAGCCAAACCAAGCCCCTGCACGGACCAAAACTTCCTCCAGTGTTCGTGCTAAGCTAGTGTCTAAAACGGATAAACCTTCCCGTCCCTTAACTCTTAAAAACCCCAGCCAGACTGAGATTGTGAACCCATACAAGAGTAAACTCTTTTCAGAGAATGCAGGAAATGCCCGAGGAAGCTACAAGGCTACTTCCATGGCCTCAAGTTATGGCACTTCTATTCAGTCCAATGTAGGAAATGGTCCCATCTTCAAACCTCGCAGTTACTCAACGAGCTACGACTCCAAATCGTCCAGAGAGGGAAAATCTGGTAAGAAGTTCGCCCCGACCAAGACCCACATCATCCCTGATAAATTTGGTGGCTATGCTATCAGACGGCTGAAGAATCCTGGGCAGGAGAAAGTGAGTATCAGGAGGCTCGTCGGTCCAAGAAGATATGAGAAATGGAATTTTCGAAAGTAGGGCCTGATACAAATTTATATTCGCATTAATAAAAAAGTGGAAAGGTAAAGTCGTAAATAGAATTAGTCTAACCCAGGGAACTCTAGTGATCTAGGGAGAAAAAGTTCCCTCTTGACGCGTAGATGCGCGAGGTGGTACTTTGTTTGGTTCCTGTAGTATGTAATGAAGATCGAAATCCTCTATCCCCTACACTGTATCTAAAATGTTACATCTGTGTAATCGTCATAGGCTTATTCGTTAAGTAGAAACTGTATCACGGTGAAATTTCTGTACGTCAGGGATCTTAATGTCGTAACGTCAGGTCATGAAGTTAATGAACTACGAAGTAAAAAGGTGGTTCGGCTACCTCAACACGTGGATTTGTTCGGCTACAAATCCACTTCTTCGTCAGCTTGTGAATAATGACGGACGAATCTACTCGAATAGTTATGTTTGTAGCTAGCGCTAGAGTCTCGGTGTTATCGACGAACGTGAGAGACACAATAGTCTCTCGTCTACATTCATGCCCTCAAATGGGTTATTTCGAAATATTGTATGTTGCACATGGTTAGTGACACGCGGGAAATTTCAATTCGACTACCGTTTGGACGAACCGGTATTGCACTACACAGTTCACGGAAATAAACACTGTTTAGAGTCACGCGGAGACTATCGCCGTCGTAGATTGAACAAGCCGTTATCCGTCGCACTAAGTATCATAGTTGTTAGTGGTATTCGGTATGCAGGTCGTGTCCATTTTTGTCCAGTCACATCGGGTCATATATGATGTAATATTGTACATTAGGTTATACGGGTGTCAGATGGTGATCGTACATCGTGAAACGTAAGTTCAACTCCTTAAAAAGTTATCAAAGTTCTCGTCTCGTAAAGCCCTGATGTCCGCTTAGTTGTACAAAGAATCAAATCATTAGTTACAGATAGTATAACTCGAACATGTAAAGTCACCCTTCGAGGAATTTCACTATTCTATAAAAATGCGTGAACTCGATTTTGGATTCTCAATGTAATATTCTCGGCCGCTGTGACCATTGTCCAGTTTCATTTGTTCAGTTTTGAGTTTTCGGTGGTGACGGTTACAAAATTCTTGGTCACACGGTGTATTGCGTCTATGGAGTTGTTGAAAACCCGTTATCAAGATTTGATCTTGATAACTCTTGTAAAACAAAAACGAGTTCCCCTAAAGTCGTTAGAAAACAGTCGCGACATTTCATAATTCTTATGTAGAACCGTTTAATCAAAACATTTTCTTTGTAAGAACGTGTGTGGAAAATCTGTGATCTCCCGTGGTTCGAATGTAGGGGTGTCGTGAGTACGTAAGTGGTAGGGTGTTATTTGGCACTTCATTTCTGTGGTTGGTTCACCCAATTAAGTACATAAATGTAGAACTAAATTTTTTTTGAATTAAGTACTTTATAAGTAGGCCTGTGGTCGAACCGTTGACATTCTTGTTTGTGTGTAATTCAGTGGTCCAAATTCAATTTACATTATCTGTCGTTCTTTCGACTGGTGTCATGTGAGTGGACGAAACCAGGGTGAAACCTGACTGTGCGTTGGTAAACGCTAAAGACACTCGGTGAGCCCTGGACTCCAAACCCTCCTCGCTCGGACTCCTCTCTACATCCGACCCCAAGTCGGCCGAGACTCCCCGGTGCATCCGGGACAACCCTCGGAGCATCCGGAC